CATGATGCACTGAGCTCTCTCTTCCTTCTCTCTTTTCCTGGCACTCCTTCATGTACCCATTAATGCATGTTACTTAAACTTTCCTTCTTCCCCGGAGTTCTTGTGGATTCTCGTCTCGGCAAGGTTCTCATGAGTGAGCTTCCATTTTTTGAGCCATAGGTCGCCTGTGGGGAAAAACACCCCCCACATTCTGCTTGTGCCAGAAATTGCACGGGGTTAGCAGTCACAATAATAATTCAATTTGATTTTATCCAAATTGTTGTTATATTCCATTATGTGGCTGCAGTTGTGGGTGCAGTTGTGTTGGCAGGAGGCAAGCGGGTCGTCCCCTAATCGGAAAGGTTTTGATTGGTTCGGATATCCCCAAGACACATGTAGATAATATCACCATTGAAGCACAAGGAACTGAATCCCAAGATTGCTCCCTTAAGCTGTGCATCTAGTGGACTGTGAATGTGTATGAATGAGTTAGTTTGTCGTGTATATTGGCGTGACTCTCTCGAAAAAATCCTGGAGTGAAGTATGTGTGAAAGTTGAATGTGGCACGCTTAGTGTAAAAGCACTTTTGTGCGGTCGGAGACTTTGAAAGGCACTACTTTCAGTACAAGTCTTACCAATTTAGATGGACTGTTATCCTGCCTCAAAATATAGGAGAACCACTCAATGCACTTGCCTACACACTACATGCACACTCACCCCATTCCACACATTCATACACTGTGATAGCAGTGGCTGCCATGCAAGCTGCCAACTGCTCACCAAAACTAAGCATTCATTACACACACACACACACAGTCATACAGCAATTCGGGGATCGAACCACCGACCTCACGATTAGTGGACAACCCACTCTATCTCTGAACCACAGCCGCCACCGCACCAATGTACAGTATGTTATGTGAGGTACCCGGCATACCTTCTTAAGCTGCCCCTCCATGCCAGGCATCAGCAGAATACAGGCAACACCCACTCCCAGCAGCAGGAAGAAGGCATAGATGAGTCGGGTCACCGTGGAGTTGTTTCCACTAGGGCAGCATCGACACAGCAGACAGGGGGCGCTGCCGCACAGGCATGGGATCTGCATACACAAATTACTTAGTCATCACTCTTATTAGATAGATAGATACTGTGGTTAAATATATATGGTAAAAATACTCAGTTACAAGTAGTGCCGATAATTAATTGAAATATTATCAAAATCGCAATATGGCCAAGTGCAATATCCGAATCACAGAAGCTGCATTATTTGAGGTAAAATGTGTGACATACAGCATTTTAATTAAGTACAGCAGTGCTGTAGAGATGCCCTGGCCTACAAGTCTTGTTCTCCAAACATGTTTGTTTGGTAGGTTTCATATCATCATGAGCAAAAATTACTATTCCCACTAACATCTGTCAAAATAATCACAATATGTTTCACCATCATATTGTGCAGCCCTAGTTACAATAAAAAGTCCTGCATTCAGAATGTTACATAACAGAACCTCAGTAGAATCAGAAAAATGTTGCTTAAAGCATTAAAAGTAAAAGTACTCAATGCAGAAAAATTTCCCATGTGACTGTTATATGACTCATGCATTAATGTAACAACAGGATCTTATTTATTTATTTATTTTTTCCACATTAATAGATTAATCAGATCAGCTTCAGTTAACAAAGCGAATATTGGCCGCAAATGAGCAAATAATCTTCACATTTATGAACTGGAATCATGAAATGCTTTTATGTGAAAAATGACTCAAACTCAAAATTATAACTTTAATTGTTTATTTAATTGAGTATTTGTATAAAAAGCTGTAAATGTGTGAATAAACTTGAAAGTGAAAGTGTCCGATAAAGGTAGTGCAGTAAAAAGTCCAACATTTTCCGCTCAGATGTAATAGAGTGAAAAGAGAAGACTCAAGTACCAAATAAAATGTATACTTACGTACAGTACTTCAGTTGTTGTTGTTGTTGTGTTTAGCTGTATGTCTATTTCTATCTCGCTGTTAATTGTTCAAGGAACTGCAGGCTATTCCTCGTATGTGATCATTAAAGCTGATTCTATTTATGAGCTCCGTAAGGTAAGAGGAAGGAACCGGTGTGTTTGTGTGTGTGTGTGTGTGTGTCTGCCTCTACATGTCGCAATAGAACGCTGCCTGCTGACTGCAGCTCATCTCTGTTTACATTTCTGCGGTGTCGCAACAGCAAACCTTCCACCGGCCTGCTCTGATGACATCAGCCACAGCTGTGTGTTTACAATGTTTACAAACATATTAGCTCGTTAAAATCCTCTATCAGTTCCCATTAATGCACCGTTAATGCTGATCTGCGCCATCAACAACAGGACCGAGCCTCTCGACATATTAGCTCGCTAGCTAGTTATTTGGGTCAGCTAGCAGCTTCACAAAACAAAGGCAGATATCACATTATAGTTCTACACATTTCACGAGAGAATTCCAATTTTAACTACGACATTTTAATTGAGATTATAATAAAATAAACAGTGAATGTTAACTAGCAAGCTAACGTTATATTGTGTTTACACCACCGTGGCCTGCGGCTTTGTGTTATTGCGCAGTCATGACAGCAATTGTGAAGCGGAAAGCAGCTAATAACATAAATAACGCATAAAATGTGTTCACTTTCCATATATAAGCGTGTTACTTACCCAGCTCGCCATGGAGCACAACCCCAGAACAGCTCCCATGATGGCTGATGTTTATTCGTCTCTATTGTACCCTTTGATCAGATGGCTGTCGGACTTCCAGAAGATGGATGATGCGCTACACTGACTTCTTCCTCTAATACAAGATCGGGGAGGGTAGATGAAGATACGCGTTATGCTGCCCTCCAGAGGATGACTGCAGTATGCTCCTCCCAGTCGCTCTTTCGTAGAGAGAGAAGCCCCTGACTGCAGACCCGCAGACCCCGCAGACCTCAATGTGGGCGGAGTTAAACGTTTAACCCCGCCCACTCAACAGTTGACTCCGCCGTCACCGTGACGCTTCCTGTTCGTCCTTCTGACTGCCGCTTTGGTATCCATAAATAAAGGAAGTAAGTGTGACTTTTAGAATATTGTTGTTATTTTTATTTTAGGTGTATCGTTAGCTCATGTGGAATTAGCTGCACATGAGCTAATGTGTATATTTAAACTAACGTAATACTAATATCAGAGTGCATTTCAGTGATATATAATATATATAAATGTAAGCATATTTTGTGGACTTTTAATCATGTTTTTTTTTTTATGTGTAGAGACACATTACAGTGATACGTGGGGATGACCTCCCCAAATCCACAAAAAGCAGCGACCTGTCATGTCCGTTCTGCAAGTACAGTGCATCTGCAAAATATCAAGTGGACAACCACATTAAGGGCCATGCCTCAGTGAGGCACAAAGGTAGTACTTTTGAAATGTAGTTATTGAATACACTGTAATTAATTAATTACTGACATTTTCCACTAATTTATAGTGCAATGTATTTCATTCAATTTTATATTTTTACTTTACTGTTATGCCTCTTTCAGAGTTCACAATCATCAAATGTGGATTGGGTTGTCGAAAGACAACTCACTTTCACTGCTTGTATTGCCAAGCAACAATAATCAACAGGGCTCAATTTCTGAAGCACCTAATGGATAGCAGCATACGACAGTAAGCAGAACAGCTGGCATTGCCCCTGTTCTAAAGCTAGGCATTCTTGTCTCCACAAATCAGTTGGAAAATGGCACCTTTTTGCAACACAAAGGGAGCTGTTTAAAAGGGTTAAATCCACAGAACAAGAAACCATTTCACCACATCCCACCACAGACCAAACGGACACAAGTGAAATGAAGGAAGGGTCTTATCCACCTAATGACCAAGGGGTAGCAAAAATGCTAAATTACCTTCTTTCACATAAAAAGTTACCTGCTGAACTCCCCAAGGCTGTCATCGAACAGTCAAGAGATGGAAAGCTATTGGGTACCTTGCCGAAGCACCCGATACCAAAAGAGTCCAGATGCAAGGGGTGTGATTACATACTCACTGACCCTATACTCATCACTTCAAAAGGGAGGATTCTAATGACCACAGGCATAGTTGAAGGTGAGTGATTTGAATGTTTGATTGATTCTAGATTTTTACATCTTTATGATACAGTAAGGTTTCCCCAAAACAAGAAAAGGAAACAATGTACTATTACTCTTAAAAGGCATGCATGCAATTTTAACACCTTTTGGTTCAAATTTCTTATTAGGCATTTCAACCTACAGCAAGTCATGCGTGAAGTCTGTGGATCGTTGCTACAGATGACGCAGGAGTGGATGAAGTTGGTGTCCACAACTTTGTTATTACCACATAATCGCTGTCTGTCAATCTTATGCCTCACAATAAGGAATGCATTGCAGGTGAGAACTTAAAAATGTGAAAATAGATTGTGCTTGATGAAATATTTGTCACACTACACGAGACACACACACCCACACATTAACAAGCCCTTTTGTTCACATCCTTCTCAGAAAAGATAGCGTAATTTTGACCAGCAAAAAAATGTGACAAGAAATCTGTGTCGTGTGTATCGGATGAAATACTAAGTATGCTTCGTCAGCACTTAATGCATAATTTCTGGAGTCCTTAAATGTGAAAATAGAGAGGTTATTTCAGAATGTCAATCTGTCAAAAGATGATGTATATTTCAATTATATTAATATTGCATTTCACCTTTCCCTAATTTTTCCAGAGACATACTGCTGTCAGCAGAGTTGTTGAAATAATTGAGGCAACTGAGCGAGTGTCATTCCCAAACAAAGAAAGGGTTTTTCAAGGGTATCTCCATTTTGAAGCCCTTACTGAACATGACTACAAGTTTGCTTGTGTATCATGTGGATACAGTCCAGCTGTTGCTGTGATGGACCTACATAAGAAAGGTGTTTTCAATATGCCATGTAAGTTTGACAAGTTTTTGGTTCTCATAATTTATAGAATTAAATGCTTGTCTCATAACTCCTCTCTCTGAATTATTAAGCTGAACAGTCACAGGATTTCCACATGTCGTGGACTACCTGGGAATTTATAGAGCAGTTTTCAAATCATGCAAATAAACTAGAAATTAATTGAAATTAAAGAATGTCCTGTAAATAATCCATGTTGTCCAGGAAATGCCTCTTTTTATTTAATTTGACAATAATGTACACGTTGTTTCTTGTTTTTTACCTCCTTCTTTATTACTCTTAAAATCATCCAAAATGACACAATGTACTTGAAATAGTTTTTCAAGTTGTGGGAGCCCAGATTAAGCTAACCAGGACTTCGAAAAAAAACTTATAATTCACTCAATTATTTTGTACTGTAGACATCTAAACACAAACTTTTCCTTAAACAGTCAGTGACATCGAGGGGCCACCCCAAGACTATGATGGACAGGTGGACATCAACAAATTCTGGGATGCTGTTGCCACAGAATTCATCAGTCGGGGTTTCATGACATGTAAGTCATGCAGAAACGCGATTTAGAGAAGAAAATGTTATGTAAATAAGTGTGTGAATTCATTGAAAGTGGTCCCTTAAATACTACTTTTTGTTTCCCAAGGCGGTCGAAAGAATCCTTTTATCGTGCCCCCAAGCTACCACAACTGGGCTCCATGGATTGGCCCACATACTAGACAATCCACTGTAGTCCTGAACACAGAACATGACAAATTACAAGCACCTAAAATGACTACTGATGTTGATGACCAAATGTCTAGTGATGGTGATGACATGCAGGTAACAGAAGAGCGCCTAGCTGATGAACTCCTTAACTTAAAGGTGAGTTCTAAATGTAAAAAAAGATTTCTGAAATAAATGTTTTGGCACTAACAAAATATGCTTAACGTAAACATAGACATAGAAATGCTTTTGTACAACAGGTAGAGGAGGTGAGAGCGCTGTGCAAGCAGTGTGGTTTGGACAGCAAAGGCTCCAAGATGGATCTTGTCCTCAGACTGCGTGAGAAGATGTCAAATAGGGTCACCTACAACAAAGTTTTTGAGAAGGTCTGGGGTGCCTCTGGTGAGTAAAATAAAATATTACATTTCAACAAGTTCTAAGTAATTTAATCCCTGAAAATTTACTTAAGTATTACACTTATGTTGTGTTATAGGTGGCTGTGCTGTAATTACTTGTCCCTGTGGCATTGTGTGCTCTGTCAAATTCAATCTACGAGCAGAGAGTCCACGTGATTATATGGATATGTTACTGTCATGGAAACACTTTCCCAACATCATAGTCTACGACTATGCAAGGGGACTGGCGTTACATGGCAACCGCCGACAACCAGGGACTTTCGATCCTTTTGAAGGACTGATGGTGGAGCCTAATGTGGACAACATTAAGCAGGCTTCAGAGGGAAAACTAACAGTGAATATGTCTTGGTTGAAGCACCCCAAGGTACCAGCAGACGAGGATGGCCATCCTCTCACTGGGTCTTCAGAGCATTTTGTTCTTAGTGATGTGTTTCACCAGGGCAACAGCAGAGATGAGAGGGATGTGCTGAGAAAGATCCAACACGTGCCTGAACTTGCTGGTTACATCAACAGCCAGTGTGTGGAGCAGCTGTTTTCAGGCATGAAGAAGAACAATTACTTCTTGAACATGACGACACCCTCAACCCATATATTTCTCCAACGAAATATACTGCACCACTACAATGTTGAAAGGAACAAGAAAGCAGAAGAGCAATACAAAAAGATTGTTCCAGAAAATGAGATGATGCAGTTGGACAGCTATGGAAGACTCATGTTGGGTATGCTGTTCCTTTGTGCTTTTTTGTCCTTTAACACTTGTGCAAATCTGGAA